CTGGGCCTTTGGAGCCAGACTGGCCTGGCCTTCTGGCTGCAACACTCTCTAAAAAGGGAATCATCCAGACAATGGCATCACACCGGGGGCGGTGGCTCACCCTCTACAGTTTTGACTACTTCTCAGGGCAGAACAGAGTGGGGCACAGTCTGAGCCCGAGGCAATCAGCTCCATTTTTTTTCCTCTTTGTGACAGGGTATGCTATTTGGCACGGGCTGGGCTTGAGCTCACTTTGTAGCCCAGTCTGGTCTTGAACTTGCAATCATCCTCCTCCCTCAGCCTCCCAAGTGCTGGGATCACAGGCATGCACCACCATGCCCCACTCTCAGATCCTTCATTTTCTTATCTTGCAGAGCTGAGTGTCAGCCAGGGGCATTTCCTGGCTCTGGGCTCCGGCTGCCTGGAGGAGGCTACTGTGGCTGCTGCTGCTGCTGCTGAGGGGCGGAGAGCAGATGAGGAGCCGGCACGCAGGCCCCCCCAGCGCCTGCCTCTACTCTGTTAATTTATTACTCAATCTTTTTTTTTAAGTAATGACCTGATCCCTAGTACCTGCTTTCAAACCATTACTGTCTGCTGAAATCCTGTCTTTTCTTTCAGGTTTTAGATGTGCTGGGTCTATGTGTAGTTGTTCTGCAGTCACATAAAAACCAGCTGCTGCCTTTGGTTCATCGGGCGTGGCCCTCACTTGTGCACCGACTCACAAATGATGACCCCCTGGCAGTCCTCAGAGCCTTCAAGGTACTGCATTGCTGCTGCACTGTCCAGCATAAACACGGAGCTCACCGGGCTTTGTGCATTGCCTCTCTTTTTGTCTGGTTGCAATGTCACAGAGCTTAAAGTATAGAAAAGTAAGAAAAGCACAAAAAATAAAATAAATATCACTTTGCTATTGCATTTGAGTCAGGGTGAACTATAAAAGCAAAGAGCTACCAGCATTTATTGAGCATCTCCTGTGTGTCAGGAAGTGAGCTTGGCATTTCCCCCCACAGAGCTCATCTCACAGCTGTGCAAGGTGAGTCTGTTACTTCCATTCTCAGTAGACGAGGAAACAAGATCAGAAGTTAAGGAAGTGTCTCAGGATCATACAACTAGCAGACAGTAGAACTCGCATGTGTGAGTTCACGCTCATGCTCATTGCACTGGCCAGAAGTCAAGGTGAAGGCACACACATTCTAGCCCTGGACATCCTCTGTCTAGCCAGATAGCTGGGCAAAGCCCATGACCACCCATTTTCAGGTGGTGTTCAGGAATAGCACCCCACTTTGTTTTTTTTTATTTAGTACAAGGTCTACGGAGGTCTCACTACATAGATCAGACTCATAGTGATCCACTGGTTTTCAGCCTCCCAAGAGCTGGGATTACAGGTGAGCACCACCACGCCCAGCCTCAGTCACCATCGCAGCGTGCCCTGGGGGTGGGGCTGACATGGTTTATGGTGCCAGGGATCGAACCCCGGCCCTTTATAGTTCCCTACGTTCCCCACAGTGCTGTCAAGAATTAAATGGGACTCTGCTGAAGTGCTTTGGAAAGCTAAAAGCCCTTAGAGATGTAAGGTATTTTTCTCCCTTAGTTTGGCTCATATTAGCACATATATTTTAACTCATTTATTTCTGTCCTTCCTTATTCTAAAAAGCACTTCCAGCATCCTTCAGAGATACATTTACCATGGCAAGCTAACATAAATCAGAAGTGGGGTGAGCAGGATGAGGCAAAGAAAAAAGATGTGTAGGGACATAGGATGAAATTGAGAAGGCAATGAATATATTTGGCAAAAGAAGTCTGATTTTCTGTGTCTTCAGCATATACTAGAAACTTTATCAGTTTCTGTTCAAAACACATAAAATTGCTAATATTTTTTCCAAAGCAAAATGTAGAAAATAACAAGTGTGTGTTGTGTAGAGAGAAAAGGAGGGTGGTCTTATTAAATCCTACTCAGATGTGCTGTTTTCTTTTATGAAAGTTAATAAGTTACCTAAAATTATATCAAGCATAGAAAAATGAAGAACCATAAAGCTGTGTGTGCCAAAACTGAAGCTGTATTTTCCACACACGTGCACATTGATGACACCTGAGGTCTGTAACCTTGCGTATCCAGCCGAGGGACTTTAAACGAGTGCCTTCCTCTGCAGAATGGGCAAAAGCTCTGTGTGCTGGCTCCACCTTGCTTACTGGATTTTTAAAGAAATTCCTAGTCTATACTCAGTCCTGTGCAGTGGGGCAAAACATTTCAATATGTTCTGCTAGAGAAAGTTTAAAATGAGACATGTAAAGAAACTGCCTGTTGTGGAAGATAGAATGAGAGTGATGTACATAAGTGATTGTGCGGCTGAACAGAGGGAACAGAAGTCAACTGCAGCCTCAGGGACCGGCCTGGGATCAGGAAGAGCCCTCAGCCTCCCTGCCTCCTTCCCTCGCTCCTCATCTGCCCCATGCCTGCAGAGGGCTGCTGCTAAGCCTTAGCTCTCGTGTTTGCTTGGCTAGCTAGAGTTAAAAGTCCAAGTCTGTTCTCAAGGGATGTTGGGGTGATTTCAGAAATAATCTATGTGAACTGCTTTAAGCTTTTTTTTTTTTAATGAAAAAAGGAAAATCAAGGTATTAATCATATTACTCATCCAACTCAAGATTCCTCTGAATTATTCTCCATGTAATCTATATTTATGGTTAGAAGCAGCTGAGCCTGAGGAGCAGAGACCTCCGAATTCATAACTGTCAGAATCACCAACCATGGTCAAGGAATTAACAGCAGTAATTCTGTTTTGTTTTTTTCAAGTAGAGACCTAGATGGAATTAAATTACCAAGCATTCTTTAGTCTTCGTACTGCCTTGCTGATATTCAATCAGCAAGTCAAGACTGTTCAGTCGGGACTGTTTCTGCAGGTTTTGTGCACCCTGGGAGGCAAGTGTGGTGATTTTCTTCGGAACCGGTTCTGCAAAGATGTGCTACCAAAGCTGGCTGGTTCCTTAGGTACCCAGGCTCCCATCAGTGCCAGGGCTGGACCAGTTTACTCTTACACACTAGCCTTCAAGTTGCAGCTGGCTGTCTTGCAGGGCCTGGGCCCGCTCTGTGAGAGACTGGACTTAGGTAGGTACCAATTCGCCTCACCTGGATGGCATCCCTGAGTCCTGTCTCACCCCTGCCTCATGTTCTTGCCCCTCCCCTCCCTTCGTGTCATCTCCTTCCATCTTTCTTTGGCCCCATTTGTCCATCTGTCATGCATTTCCTGACTCACAGGATAGAATAGAGAGCTCAGGGAATGTTGCCCAGCTGCTCCAGTTTCCCCAGACAGCAGTTGCTTACTGCTTATCCCAAATGAAGTGTGAGGACCAGTGCTTGTTTTGTTTTTCCTCTCTGCAGGTGAGGGTGACCTGAATAAAGTGGCTGATGCCTGCTTGATTTACCTCAGCACCAAACAGCCCGTGAAATTACAAGAGGCTGCCAGGAGGTATGTCTGCTTGATCACCTGCATCTCTTTATGTTTGTTCTAAATTATAGATGATTTGCTAATGGCAAGCAGATCTGAAGCATCTCTGCCCTCCTTTCTCTCCTTGCCAGGTTAAGATGATTTCTTGAACTGTGCCAACTCTAAAGGTAGTATTTTTACTAAGTGCATTTTCCTTTACAAGTAATCTTTTCTTCTTCTGCAATGTCCACAACAATTTTATAGAGGCAAAAAACAGAAAGACCATGTGCTGGAGGGGACCCAGCACCCTCCTGGTTAGAGGGTGAGCCATGTCAGGTCCTGTTCCTGATGGCCCAGGATCCCAGGTCTCCCTTCCCTCTACAGTAAAACAAAAGCACTGGGTTACTGACTTCTAAAACCTTGACTCCACAGAAGGTCTTAGTGATAAAAAAGTATATGCAGAATTGGATATGTTTTCAATCAGGCACATACATGCCTCTTTCTAGAGTCTGTACGGTAACATACATAAACAGCAGAGACCACCAGGCTTGTGTAAAGGCAACATGCTATGTGTTAGGTTTTTCCAGCAGTGCAGTAAAGAAATAGGAAGGATAAAGAAGGCTTTATTAACTCAAAGAGGATCCAGGGCTGATATGGCAGATCCTCGACCTGAAACAAAAAGGCTTGGGGCCACGGAGATAGCTCAGTGGACTAAATGCCTGCCTAGGCAAGTGCAGTGACCCGGTTTGATCCCCAGTGCCACATGGCATGTTACCCTGCCCCAGGCACACCAAGCCAGCCACCAAGACCAGGTGTGGTGGGGCCAGAGAGATAGCTCAGTAGAATAAGTGCTTGCCTGACAAGCACAAGGGCCTGAGTTCAATCCCCGGTTCTGCCAAAAAAAAAAGACCAGGCGTGGTGGCAGACATATTTAATCACAGCACTGGAGAGACTGAAACAGGAGGATCACTAGGAGTCTGAACTGCATATTGAGACCTATACCAAATACATTAGAGAGAGAGAGAGAGATAGGTGGAAGGGGGGAGAGAGATGAGACTTTTATGGCCTTTTGTTAGGGGTGGAATTTGAGGGGATGTTTAGAAATAGCTGAGGAGCTGATTGGGATCTTCCCTGTGGTAGTGGGAAAGGTGAAAGAAAATTACACCCTGGGCTAGGTTGGAGAACAAGTGGGAGAGGCGGTCTCTGGGACGGTAAGTTGTCGTTTTCAGGGCTTCAACCATGTTAGATGACCATCATAATAAATCAGCAATTCATACTAGAGCCAGAACCTATCAGTATGGAATTTATTGTCCTGGGTTCAGGCAGAGAGCATGGTAAGACCTTCCACCCCTCAAAAAGAGAATTGTGTCCTTTTTTATAGAGATGGAGAGAAGACGGGACATTAGGCGGGAAGATCCCAATGAACAGCTGTGGTTAAAGTTTTCTGGCGTTCTTGCATCTCAGTAGGCTGAGTCCTTAAAAGTATCGGTTGTAAATTTTTGGGTGCCTCCAGATGCCCGCAGGATCTGCAAAATTCCTTGTCCTGTCTTACCTCCTTTCCTGTGTTTGCCAAGGGCTGAGCTGAATTCCCTGCAGAGAGCAGTGCTTCTGCTAGCAAGCAGGCTGGTGGGGGCTGGGAGAGTCAGACCAGGGTGGAGACTTAAACCATTCATCCAGTCCTAGCCGGATTCCCATCACGCAGAGAAAAGTAAGAGTCACTCGGGCCTTTTCTGATTCGAAATTATGTGACTCTAATTTCCAGGATTTTTTGACAGTGCTTCTAACAGAAGCTATTTTTAGTTGCCTGAGTACTAAGTGATTTTTCCCATAAACTAAAACTCTGACAGAGGGCATCCCAAACTGTACTCTGGTCTTTCCCCAGCTCATTTTCCAGCTGAGAGCAGCATCGCCCTGGAGCTGCTGCCCCTGCACACCTGTTCTGGGCTGGGCCCGGGCTGTCTGCCCTCCAGCTCCATGTTCCCCAGCAGTGTCCCTCCTTCCCCAGGCATTTGGAGACAGGACCTTGAGTATCTGTGCTGGGGAAGGAGATGGGACTCACCCCATTGCCTGAGGAGCTGAATGGCTGCTCTGACTGGAATAGGGAAAGTGACTTGCTCTCTTGTAACCCTGGGAGTGATGGAAATATTTTTTTGAATTGATTTATTGTCTTTGCAATTTTTTACTCTTGATTTCCACTGTAGCCTTTTTTCTCTCTGTCCCTTTCCCATCACATCCCTTAGGCCCAGGCTCAGTCATGGTTTTTGGAGCACAGGATGCGTGTGTGTCCCAAGGAGCTTCTTGTACCCAGGCATTAAAAGAACCAGCTTGGGGTAAAATAGTTCTCCTTGGGCAGTGCCCCAAAGCTCATTGCTGGGTGATTTAAAGTGCAGCCACAAACACGATGAATTTATCTTTTAAGTAAACTCTGAGGAGCCTAAGGAGCTGTTACAACCAAAAGTTGCGAAGACCTGATTTTCACAATTCTTTGAAATTGTACTTTTTTTTTTTACTACCACCATTCTACTTTTTTTTTTTTTTTACTACCACTGCATCCCATCCTTCAAGTTTAGAGTCATCAAACAAGCTAATATTCTCAATTCATTTTCTTTTCATTTCTAATTCTTTTTTTTTGTGTGGCTGAAAGCAATTAAGCCCAGAATTGGACCTTGCTGAGTCTTGAGCTGGTGTTCAAGGTGGCTCAGGAGGAGGAACATGCAGCCTGACCACTTGACTGCAGAGGCGCCTTTGTTTGCTCCACTGCATTCCACTCAGGGTTGAGTCAGATGACTCCCTCTGCCAGGCAGGGAGCAGGCGAGGAAGTGCAAGGTTGATTGCTTCACACTCACGTCATCTGCGGACGCTTTTGAGTTGGGGGGACAGAGTTGTCCTTGATCAAGAGCTGATTTGGCATCTTGATTCAGAAATTAATAAGCTCTCTAAATGAGAAAAGAAGCTGAGAACAACAGGAAACCTGGCATCGTTGTGAGCTGCATTACTATGCAGAGGGTGATGGTGGACTGAAGCAGTCACAGATGCTGATGACCAAGCCGTGTCCCTGCCTGGGATGGAGTCCCCATGTCCAGGCAGTTTGTCCTTAGGTCTCCTCCCTTCCGACCCCAAATCCCTGACCGAGGAAAAGCCTGTCTGCGTACTTGGAAAGTCTCCCTTGAAGCTATCTGCTCTCTTTCTGTCCAAGCCTTGTAGCTGGGGTTTACAAAAAGCCATGCCGAGTATTCAAAGTCGGCAGAAGTCGGGGCTGCCCAGAGTGACTGCCTCCCTTCACAGGTATTAAATTCCCCTCCCTGCTCCTCTGTTAGCCAGAGGGCTGGCTAAGGAACCTGTGCAGACAGGGGCCTGCTGTGAGGCCTCCCACCTTCTGTGAGGAGATGAATGTGCACCACTTCAGAGCAGGTGTCAGGGCCCCCTGGGGTTGAGGGGGTTAGGACCTCAGAGGCCTTCATCGTGTTGGAACACAGACAAACTTGGCTGCACCGTGAAAATATCTCTTTATTTTCACTACATCGTGCTTTTTCCTTCTTCCTGTTTGCTTTTTTGTGGCTCCAACGAGTAACCAAGGCTGTGTTTGCTTTTTTAATTTGTCATATTAAATACAGCCTTTGTGGCAGGCTTTTACATCAGGCTGTAAACTCTGGAAATGGAAATTGATCAGGGGGTGGTTGACATAACCAAGGCTATAAATGGTAAGAACGGAGATGCCATTCCAGTTTAATGCTTTTATCTAGTGAATATGCCTGGTAAGGAGGGGGCATAAATCTTGCAACTTGGGGGAATGGGGGCTGGGTATAACCTTCCTGCTTGCTACCACCAGGTGTCACTGTTAGAACTGGCAATGAAAAAAAAAAAAGCTCCCTCAAAGTCCATCTCGCAAAATAACTTCAATGGATAAAAAACATAAATCACATTTGGGTGTAGGAGGAGGGGTCAAGATATCAGAAGATGTACATTGGCAGTGTCCCTGAGGGTAAGCATTGAATTACAAATAACAGCTCCAATTAGCCACACCCCCCTCTCAGTCTAGGGCAGAAGCAAATTTAACTGATTTAAGTTCCCAAGTGGCCCCAGAAGCCTCCAAGATATCTCCCAGTGTGCATTGTGTCTTCGCAGTTCTGTGCCTTTCTGACCATCGAGCTTTGCCCTCCAATAGATGAAAGGAATTTGAGATGAGAGCATACACCCCAAATTTCTATTTTTTTCTTCAAGCCAATACGTGTACTCAGCCTGGCTCAACTCTTTTAGAACCACATGTCTTGGGCCAGTGTACTAGCCTCTGAGGCTCCCTGCCTTGCAGCAAGGTCTTACATCATCCACCTGGGCTAAAAGGAAACAAAACGAGGCAATATCTGTTTTTAAATAGATGAAGTCCATGCCAGTAAATCTCATGATAAAGGTTTTAGACTGCTTGGTCTCTACCAAGTCCTACCTCCACCTGCAAACGGTAAAGCCCAGGTCCCAGGTATGAATGCAGAGTGGCAGCTGGTAGTGACCAGCTGGTGCACCTGCTGGTTGTGTACAAGTACCTGGATGCCTTATTGCGGCCCTGGTGTGAAGGAAGGGGGACATTGCCTTCAGTCTTCTCTCCAGCCATTGTGTGTGAGAGCAAAAGGCACCCGTACATGTTTGTAGTACAGAAGGCATTCATTGTAGGAAATAAGTACATGCACATAACGTATTTTAATTCTTTTCCCCCCTCCCTCCTTTCCACCCTTCGTCCATCTCAAGATCCCCTACCCACTTACCACAGATATCTTCCTGCTTCCTATTGTCTGTCTCTTTCTTTGCTCTTTAAATTATTTATACTTAGGAGTTCTTTCATGTAAGAAAAATTATGCAATGTTTAAGTTTATGTGTCTGATTATTTCACTTAATATTATGGTCATAAGGCATATCCATTTTCCTAAAAAAAAGAAAAAGGGGGGGCGGGGAGATGGCTCAGTAGAATAAGTGTTTGCCTGGCAAGTGCAGGGCCTAAATTCAATCCCCAGTTCCACAAAAAAAAGAGGAAAAAAAATTTCCTACAGATG